AAAATACAAAACTTTATCTCCTATATTAAGTATTACAGAGATCTTGGTATTCTTATCATGATATTTCTTTTGTTTTTGTTGTGCAAGTTGTATTTGTATCTTTGCATCATGTCGCACTAATGGCAATTTATTGATCAGATGATCAACTCTATTTTGTAAAAGAAAATCTTGATTGGTATAAATATCATTAGAATCATCAGGATTATCAATTGGTAATGTTGCATTTCATCAATAAACCAAATAAAAAGGTTCTATATTTGTGGCTGATTGTTTACTTGTACGGTAAGCAAATAATACAGGTGAAATATATTGGTCTTATTGGGTAGAATTTTTAGCCAATTTTGCCAAAGATTCACACAAAGTTCTATTGAATCTTTTTACTAATCCATTCGTTATAGGATGATAAGGAGTTGATAAATTATGTTTAATATGGAATTGTTCTATCAATTGAGTAATAAGTTGATTATTGAAATGAGATCCTCTATCAGATAAGATTTTTGTAGGACATCCATGTTGGCAAATTATATCTTTATATAAAAGTTTGACAACATTTTTAGCAGTAGCATCTTTTACTGCCCTAGCTTCAGACTATTTAGTTAAATAGTCAATAGCAACTATAATATATTTGTTTCCTCTACTTGTTCGTGGTAAAGGTCCAATAAAATCTATTCCAATTCTATAGAATGGTGAATCAACTGGAATAGGATGTAATTCATTTTTAGTTTTAGACCTTCCTCTTCGTTGACATGCATCACATACTTGAATATAAGATCTAATATTTTCGTACATTTGAGACTAATAATATCATGTACGAATTTTGTTAAACATTATATCAGTAGAAAAATATCTAGCTGTTGGATCATTATGCATTATGTAAAGGATTGCTTCTAATTCTGATACTTTGATTACTCTTAACAGTTTTTCTGGATTCTTTTTAGGTTTCTTATATAATAGATCATTTTTGACTTTAAAAAATTTTGCTTGTCTTTTTAATTTAGCAATATTTTGAGAATTAAAGAAATGGAAAATGTATTTAAGGTTAAATACTGTATATAAAAGATTGTTATATTGAACAGTATTCATGATTATTTGAGCTGCCTATTACAATGTAGACATTTTAGCTTTCACTCTAAAATATGTGTTAAAATAAATATAACTATTTTAAATAATTTATAATAAAAAGAATTTTTAATAAAATAAGGGGTTCATTAAAGAATCAAGATGTTCAAGGGATTCATAAAGTAATGCGTAGGCATTTTCTTGTTGTACTATAATAGGTTCATTCCACAAAAGGTCATTAGATTAATAATTTGGATTCATATCAGTTTGAATCTTCCCAAGACCGAATCTAATAATACAATTATGGATAATGGTTCCATAAGATAAGTTCGTTTTACAAGCTTTACAATATGTGTGGATATGATAGTTTTCAGTATCACAATAAAAGGTACATTGTGAACCACCTTTAGTAATTGGTTGATTAGCAATTACTTGCTTAATCTTCAAGTTTTCATTATAAATATTCTCAAGTTCTTTTTGACCACATTTATATCCAATTGTAATTAAAGGAGTATTTGCGAATTATTGAGTTAATTCTTGTTCAAACCATTTCTCATCACTTAAGATATTATCATTGTTAGTTGAAGAATTATTACTTGATGAGTACCATTCAATTTCTTAATCAATACTATCTTCAGAATATTCTAAAAAACTTGCTTCTCCATTAATTGTAGCTATAAATGCTTCTCTGTAAGATTTATCATTTTCTTGTTTAGGGATTAATCTAGATAAAGCATCAGCATTGGCATTATTTTTATCTGGATGATGTTGAATATTAAAGACATATTGTTGTAACTCTATGATTCATCTAGCACGTTGTTCTTTAGGAATTTTTGAGGTTCTTAACCATTTAAGAGCAGAATGATCAATCACAACTGTAAATAATTTAGAACTAAGGTAATAATGAACATTTCTAATAGCTCATACTACTGTGAGACATTCCTGCTCAGTAATAGGATAATTTTGTTCTGCTTTATTCATACTTTTACTAGCGTAAGCAATCACATGTTCATTATTATCTTCATCCATTTGAGATAACATAGCACCCAATTCTACTCCTGAAGCATCAGTATATAAAGTAAAAGGTTTAGAGAAATTAGGATATTGAAGAATAGGTGATGTGATTAACTTATTTTTCAGAGTGTCGAAAGATTTCTGTTGAATTTCTGTCCAATTATACAATGTATCTTTCTTTAATAGAATAGTTAAAGGTTTAGCTATTTGGGAATATCCTTTAACAAATTTTTTATAATAAGAGAATAATCCTAATGCTGCTCTTAATTTAGTTAATTCTTGTGAAGCAGGTAATTCTTTGATTTTTCTAATTTTTTCAGGATCAGATTATAAACTATTCCTTTCTACAATACGTCCAAGAAATGGAATATTTGGTAGACAGAATTGACACTTTTTAAGTTTGATCATTAACTTTGCTTTTCTGATTGCTTTGAATATAAGCTGTAAGTATTTAACACGTTCTTCATAAGAGGATGAGTAGATTATAATATCATTCAAGTATACAGCTATAAATTTATATAAATAATCTTATAAGACATAATTCATGAGTCGTTGAAAAGTTCCAGGAGCATTTTTCAATCTAAAAGGTATTCTTTTAAATTCATATAAATCATATTGACAAATGAAGGCAGTTTTTTCTCTATCAGCTTCTTCCATTTCCACTTGCCAATATCCACTAGCAAGATCTAATGTAGAGAACCAACTTACATTTCTAAATTTTCTAACAAGTCATCGATTAATGGTAAAAGGTAAGCATCTTCTTTAGTAATAGTATTAAGTTTTTTATAATCAATACAGATTCTAGAATCTCCAGTCTTCATTGATATGATAACTACAGGAAAAGCCCAAGGACTTTTAGATCTTTGAATAATATCATTTTCTTCTATTCTTTTTATTTCAGATTGAAGAAAATTTAATTTAGCAGGATCTTTTAAATAATATGCAGGACTTGTAATTGGTTCATGATCTCCAGTTGGTATTTGATGTTGAAAAAGTGTGGTATGACCAATTTTTGTTTGACTAAGTGCACAAATATCCTTATTATCTTCAATAAATTGATCAAAGATTTCTTGTTGAGATATTTCTAAGGGTCTAACATGTATATCTTCTTCAATGTTTCATTCATTATTTTCGACATCTTCCTTTTCAGTTTGAGCTAAAAAGACAGCAGGATTATTTTTCCAAGGATTAGCAAATAATTTTGTTTCATTGAAATCAAAAGACTCTTCATTTTCATCAGAAGTGTTTTCTTCACTATGAAGAAAGAAAATATCCCTTTCATCAAGATATTTATCTTCATATTGATCATTATTTGTTAAATCTTCAATTACATCGATGAGTTCATCCACTAAAGTATTAGGGTCTTCATCTAATTTAAATGATGAATTATCATAGTAAGTAATTGGTACAGATGCAGCTTTAGTAAGATATTTAAATCTTAATTTTTCTTCATCAAAATTGAGAATTGCTTTAGTATGTTTGAACCAATCTGTTTCTAGTAATAAATTTTCATCAGGGGATTCAATTACTTGTAAAGTAATAGGTATTCTAATAGGTCCAATAATGATCTTGACAGTGTTAATCTTTCCTAATGCACTTGCTTTTTTTTCATTAGCAGTATTAATAATAATCTTTGATGGTTCGTCAATTTTTAATTTAAGTCTTTTAACTAAACTACTAGTACTAATACTGATAGCAGCTTCTGAGTCAAGAATGGCTTGTATATTTTGATGATTTATTTGTATATTACATCAGACAGCATTTGTAGGAGTTTCATCATTATTATCATAACTAACATATTTGTCATCTATTCCAATATTGTTAGTTTCTTTAACAATAGCTCTTTTTAATGCATTAGCTAAGTTCTTCTTTGATCTGGGTATTTTAACTATTGGCTAAGTTTTGCAGAAGAAGGTAAATTAAGAATATCTTCAGCAACATTATATGAGGCAAGTTGATCAATAGCAGAAGGTATATGAGGAATCTTATTTCAAAAAGTTTTAGGGGTTGGTCTTGGAGCAATAATTTCTTCTCCATTTTCGTTAAATATTAGATCAATTATGGGGATTCTAGTTGGTTTGTCTACATTCCTATTTCTTAATCTTATTTCAGGTTGAGATTCAATTGCTTTTCTAACCCTATCCTTTGCATCCTTTCTGTTAGTATTATAAGGAACAACTCTAACTCTAGGAGTAGCATAAACTTCTTCATATTCTTCTTGTTCTTTCTCTGAGTCCAAATCAGAATATAATTCAACCATATTAGCATCTCTTCTTTTTTGTTGAGTTCCATTACATTCTTTAGCGTAATGACCTTTCTTTTGACATTTAAAACAAGTGATTGGGATTTATCGAATTTTGTATTAGGAGTTCTAGGTTTTAACTGAGTTTGAGCACTTAGAGCAAAGACAATATTAGCATAATTAAGAGTAAGCTTTTCCATTTGTTTCGCAAGTGCTTCCATTGCATCGTCATTAGAACTTTTAGCTTTTCTTTTAATTTATCTTTCATGTCTTTCAGCTTGTCTTTCAAAATAAAATCCAGCTTCATAATCAATAGCTTCTTGAATTGCTTCATTAATAGTTACAGGTTTTTGTGCTGC